GCGGTTATAGAAGCTTGTTTGTTTTTGGTTAGAGTTTGGTGGGCTTCTATTTGTTATGTCAACATACCTAGGGCGTTTTGGTTGTGTTGGTGTGCTTAGTAAGGCCTTTTGGTTTATGTGTCTTGTTTGGTAGTCGTTTTCTTGTACTGACTGATCGGTCTTGGGGGATGTAGTAAAACTGATACTGCTATCTAAGGGTGTCACATGACTCGGTCCAGGATCTGTATCATCTTTTTGTTCTGGTTGAACGTTGTTATTTTGTTGTGCCTTCCTCGTTTGTTTCTGACCAGCAGTTCTAACTGTTTTTGCAGTTGCGCGTTTTTTTATCATGAGAACTAGAGTCAGACGTACTTGCTGGAGGTCCTTCTGCGGGGGCTGTGGGTATAACATTTGGTTTACGCTGGCCTGTGTATTTCTTTTTATTAGTGCTAGAAGTAGAAGTAGTGGCTAAAGGTTCAGTTGAGGGACCGGAGTGCTGATTATCGTATTTGTAGCTGGTGTCTTTTTCCCGTAGTTTACGTCTTTGCATAGGTGTCAAATCTGGACCTATAAACGAGTTTAGGTTCCGCAGATTTCTGTTTACTTCGGGATTTTGTAGGACAATCTCAGCTTCCGCCTGTGAGTAGAATGTTACTAAGACGGGTTTGTTTTTGCTTCTGGAGTGAAGTCTTTTAGTGTTAGCTACTCTAATATTTAAGCCACACGAATGTATAAAATTTTAAATTGATGGCATCGGATTAACAGTGTGGGGTATATTACGGATAATTAAATTGAGCCTGCGTTTCGATCTATCCGCGACTTCTGACGAAACTAAGTGTATAATCGATTCAATTTGTGGTAGGCTCGTTAGGTTGTTCGTGAATCTATTTGAGTCTGTTAGTGAATCGAGAATCGTAAAAATATGTTCATGTTTCTCGATGAACTTCTGTAAACGGACGATGGCCGAAAGATCTACTTTGTCGACAGCAAACGTAACATCAGTCATGGTTAAATGGGGAGAGTGTAGTGGATTTATGTGTTATTTTCGACAGCTAATAAAAATCGACGCAAAATCGACAGAGAAATATGTCAAATATTTCAGTTATAAATGAATTTCAACTTATCTCGAGTCTAAGGATTTTGAACGGTTGTGCACAAACGGGCTTCAGCTGGACCATGATGTTATTCAAGATGTCCTCCTTGAATGAAAACTGTCAAAATTTACGTCTCAACAACGTGAGAAGCTCGCGCCCTTCACTAACCTTGTTACTCGTGAGAACGGAGACAGACGGAAGCAGAAATTTAACTTAAGTTCTAAAAATGATCCTGAAAGTAGACAGCCATTCGATATCGCCTTCCAATTGCTTTACACTTATAGGTTCAAATTTGAGGTCACTGAAGCTAATAGCCTTTCATCTGTGAGAAAAAACCTCCCAATTTTGGTCAAATTATTCTCGTCGATAGAAGAAGACTTTATTTTCCCCCATTTGGAGCGCTGAACTTAATATCTTAGAGAACATTACCTTTTTATTGGTCAAGGTGAAACTCTTATGCAATGCAGAGTTTTCCCCTCATTAGTAAACGTAAAGCTACCCCATAATTTTACTCATCTGCTATTTGCTTCCAAAGCAGGTTCTTCATCGGGCGTCAATCAAATTTTCCCCGTATCCGCGGCGGTACTAGTTCATCTGGTTCTTCAACTAAGCACATTATCATTGATGCGGTTGAAAACTACCGCTTTGAAACACCCCCAAAAGTTATAACTGCCCAAACGCCGCTCCCAAGTTTATCGGGCTGCTTGAACTTAGGAGCAAAGACGGGCCAAAACTAGGGTCGCAGTCGACCTCCAGGACTAGAATAATGGCTTAGTTAAACTGGGTCGAATCTATCCCGTTTCTTTGTCAGGCCACTCAAGTCTGACCTACCGGTAATATAATAATATAATAATTTATTTAATGCCAGTTTACAGGCATTGTAAGATCAAATAGGGCAAATAGTAGCCTAAGGAGATCTTTACCTATTCCCATCCTAAATTTTCAGTTTAAAGAGGGCCTTACAGTTGAGAAGTCTACCAAAACCAGCCTGTGAAATGTACGTATGCAATGTTGCTAATAATTTTGCCAATCCAACTACTAGCCTGACTCCAAAAAAAGAAAACCTATTCGTAATGTGGACAGTTTATGAAAACGATTTAGTCTGTATTCTAAAATAAATCACCCCTCGTATTATGCCCAACATTCTCAAAATCCTATTTTTATACTTTTTGCTTTTTCGCACTCTGCACAAATTTCAGGGCACAGCAATTTTTCTTTTTGCGCTTTACTCCCTACCCACAGCACAATTTTCCAAATGCCAACACTTCCTTTTTACAAGAAGTAATGTGCAAAAACTTCATCTCATGAATACGCTCAGTACAGTTTATCACAGCGCATGATCAGTCGTGCAAAAGGTGGCACAACTAACAACTGCGGCCTTTCGAGGTTGACCCAGATGTTTTGCGCATTACACAGTCTTGGGCTCACTCCCGAATATCAGGTTCCCCGCTGGTTTCTCGGTTCTCGGAGCTAAGACCATGTGTAGTATAGATAGTCTCAGATTATACCCACAAGACCGCGTTAGATAACGTGGCGATGGTTGCCTTTGCTACACCAGCGCCTCGCTTGCATATAGGCCTCATGACCTGAACATTTCTTCCTTCTCCGAAAATCAGTTTTTTGCTTCGGTGAACTTTCCACAAAAAGGGGAAGCCTTAATTGGATGTGTATATAATCCCCCTCTTTACTCCGAAAATGAAGGCCAAATCTGTGAACTATTTGAAAAAAACGCGGAAACTTCACTCAATGTCAAGACAATCGTACACGACCATAATTTTCCGTAAATTGACAGGCACACACATACTTCCTCTTCGGAATTCCAGAAGCTCCTGGATACTATTCACCTTCGAACTGGCCCCTATTAATCCACTTTTTGACCAGAAAAGATAGTACATTTGATTTAATTTTTCTAATGGCATCCTTCCATTATCTAAGAATTTACATCGTGACATTTTTGCAGGTAATAATACATTAATCCATTGTTGTCTTCCAGTTTCCACTTCTGCAAAGCCAACAGCAAAATTTAGTTCTTTGACCATACTAACGTTAACAAGGATTTAGTAAGTAAATTATTAAGGACACTCGATTGGCACGATATTCTTTAAAATAATGATCTAAACTTTTCATACGATTTATTGCAGTATGTAACAGCAGGTCTTCTCGATCTCATTCCACTGAGGACGTTTAAAGCGAATGCCGCTTCCTCCATTGTTCCACATTTTCTTGAAAACAGAATTAAAAATCCACGGACGCAGCTTAAAGTTGCCTCCGTAAGCTCATTACCAGTTCAAGTTAGAGTTGCTAAAATATCTGACTTAGCTGCGTAAATGAGCCTCGCGGGAGACACGTGTAGAGAGTCTTTAGCTTTTAATGTTGCGAATCCTTCTAGCTCAGTTACTCAGGTCTTCCGTCAAAGATCGTAGGCTAAGTCAGACTAAATCACACCGACTTTGCTTAGTACAAACGATACCTTAGTTACTGAGGGGTCAGAAAAAGCAGAATTGTTAAATCCATTGTTTGACAATCATTTGGCCATTGAACTAACCTCAAACCTTCAATTACTGTCGTCTGATGCTTTCCTCACCATCATTGAATTTGGCCTTGTAAATATCCAGAAACTAATAATCCAACTTGCTAACTAACACTCCGTAGGAACTGACAAAACCCGAACTCTCTTGTCAAGCAGCCATGGGATTTTACTCCTCTACCTAGCAAACTATTTTCAGTTTTTCTCGAGAGTGATTTTCTGCCGACTATTGGAAACTTCTATCATTATTTCAGTATTTAAATCTGTCCGTCATTCTGATGTCTAAAACTATCGAGATGCCCATGAAACACATTCTCCCGCAAAAATCTTTAAGAAAGTTGCTGCCTTTACAATAACCAACTTCTGTCACACAATTTTCACAACAGCACTGGGCTAACCCTGTCTACACAACAAGATGTCAACCTAGGCAGTAAAAGATCAAGTAAGTATTTGCACTCTCCCCCCCTCACCATATGCACCCACATACTAGACCCTGCTTCAGGTTACTTATGACGTTTTAGCTCTCTAGGTCGATCGTTGATTGAACAGTTTTGCCTTGTAATATAACCATGCAATGACCGTGTGCAGCTGAATGAGAGGTCTCGAAATTTATGACGTCATTAAATTCTGCATGCTTTGTCGCCTTCGCCTTGTTCAAACTCTCAATATAGTTGAATCTGGTTTAAATCAACTTCGCGGTTTAAAACGCGCAAGATGCAACCTGGCAAAAATGTGGCCGGACCATTTTCGAAGTGTTCAGAGGACGTTCATAGGCATTCGAAGTCGATAATTTTGCAGCAAGAAAATCCTGAATAAGTCATAATTATTTTATGATATGCTGGCTCTGAGGCTAAGGAGAGAGTAGTATCCAGAAAAGTTGTCAGCAATGGGAATCAGATCCTTGATAGTCATTTTTAATGTAGGATTTTTAGTGACCGTTTTTCGGCAGTAATATCCTTAAGCCGTGGGAATTGCCAGAATTCGCTTACCTCTGCTAATCGGAACTACCCAAATGTGGTTTGAGACACCTTTCCGTTTGTGGAAACCACCCTTTATTTTGCAACAAATAGTAAAAAGACAGTTAATGTCTATTAGAATTCGATCAAAAATGACTTGAGACGGGGTATTACGGTGCGCTCGATCTTCATGAGTGAAAGTTAACTTACGTCTTGAATTCTTATCAACCTTGACACGCCTTTGGTATCTTGGCTACACACAGCAACTGTTTGGTCCAACCGCGCGGTGTCGCATGGCGGCGCTTAACGGAAATTATCAGCTTATATTACGGAATTTACAGGTTTGTAATCTTATCAGCGGTTAACCATGCTGGATTTTTGCTTCCTTTTGACACGGTTTGCTCTTATGCGCCTGAAAGGGCATAATTATGCCCTCGTCAATTCCTTCGACACGCAGTTTTTCCATTGAACCCTGTAATTTTTTTCTATTTTACGCTCAGAGGGCTTCACGCCTTTTAAAACATTGGTTCCATGTGACCCATATTCAGCCGCCGCCTACCACCCTATATGTTAGGCGCAACCGGCGTGTGCGTGGGGCACGAAACTCGTTCGCTTGGCGCTGTTGACGCGGTTACATGGCCAGAGGGACTTTGATGCCACTGTAGCCCACAACTTGTGGGTTCGTTATTATTAGGTTAAATCGTGTTGGCGGATCTAATCAGTGCTTTAAGCCGTCCTGATAGCCTCGCTTATCGTGTTGCGTACTTTGGTTGTCTTTTAAGTGGAAAATTTGCGAACCAGAGCACTGGTGTTTTACGCGCATTTATTTGTTCCTAGTGCGTCCGCTTAGTCACCTGGTGTAATTGGAATATAGTATAGCTCTTTCTGAGACGTCTCTTGGATACTTCGCTACTCATTATGGGACATCCTAGCCGTTTCTCCGCGTCTTCCCATTCATAGTTTGTTTTGACCTAACGTCATGTTTATTCAAACTCTGATTATCCGGACTTCTTCCAAGGAGTGTATAGACACCCCATGCTTCCAAAGATTCCGTGCAAAGGACGTGATACTGAGTTGGAAGTCGAGTTTCTGCCAGCTTGATAGTAAGCTAGTCGTCTGTGACTGTAACCGTAGTCACACTAGCAGGTTCATCGAAACGAACCGGCCCCTAGTGCCCAAATAAGTCATTTAGTGTTGTTCGACGTTTGCATCTAATCCTGTTTCATCTTCCCCTTTTTGATGGAAACATAGTGGCGTCACATCTTAGCCTGGTTACTTGTCAGCAAAGTCGGCGTGTTTCTATACGCAAGGCATTGGGGATTGCGAGGGTGATAGGAATTTAACGTTTGGAAGGGATTAGTCACCAGGGAAACAGTGTCGGGCCGGGTAGAAATCTATAATATTGATTTGGTTCCTGTTCCGAAACTGAGGGTTAGTGCCGAACTGGTGTCTCTAGGACGTCATCAGGCATTTCTAAAACTGAAGTGTAGGCATGCTTTTCTGGTGGGCTGATTTCCCTGTCAGCAGCTGGCACCTTTGAAAGGTCCGGCCATTGCGGTCACTGCAGTAAAAACACTGCAGGTTTACACTGTAATTATATTGCAAACCATATTGAGTCATTCTGTCTTAAGAATCTTCGTCACTTAGTCAAAAGTTTACCATCTTTTCATGAATGTCTTATTCTTGATTGGATACGCCTTCACTATGCTGAGTGCATTCTCTCGCACCGTTCTCATCTCCTCAGGCTGAATTGCTGTATGACGTGGCTGTGCCGAACTCATTTTTACTAGGTTAAGGCGTTGGCTCAAATCAAAACAGTCTTAGATTTTCGTTTTGACAGAAACCTGATGCAGCTTGCGAATTCGAATTAAATGAACAAATCTAATTAAAGCTAATCCTTCCCTTATGACTTTACCAGGAGGTTGTGGGCGATGCCGAACTGCGCGCCATCCTGGCCCGCGGAGAGCCTCCTCTCGAGGTGTACTGGGGTACAGCCACTACTGGCAAGCCGCACGTTGCCTACTTTGTGCCCGTCATTAAGATTGCGGACATGCTTCACGCCGGCGCCAAAGTGACCATCCTATTTGCTGACTTGCACGCCTACCTGGATAACATGAAAGCGCCCTGGAGTCTACTTTGCCTACGTGCCAGTTACTACGAGACCATCATCAAGGGCATGCTTGAGGCGGTCGGCGTGCCACTGGACAAGTTACACTTCATTCGCGGTTCGGAGTACCAACTAACTAAGTAAGTTCTATCCGTTGACTCGATGAAGTACCATCGTACAGACTGCCCTCCAACTTACATTAGATGCTTTAATTTCATAGATGTTTTGGCAGATTTGGAATTATTCATATTGACCCAGCTGTGAAAAACTCGGCGCCTCTGTGGGATGCGAACCCACGCAGTAAGGGGAAGGCTTTAGTACAGCCAGCGATCTAACCACCTGAGCTGCAGGGCCCCGCCAGACGACGCGATTTTAATCACGTTTGGGTCAAATTGTCCGCCCAGCCTACTGCAACGCCTAGTACCATCAAATGTAATACAGTAAGTTGACACCGTAAGCAGGATCCCCTGAGTAATTCACCTACAATCCACCAGATGAATGCCAGGCTTACGCAATTCTTAGGTGAATTCTAGGTAAATTACTTAGGAAATCCTGCCTGGGCAGTCAGCTTGCTGTATCAGATTTAGTGGATTCCAGATGTTGCAGTGGGTTTGGCGGGTTACTTGACCCAAATGTGATTAGACTCGCGTCGTCTGGCGGGGCCTCGTAGCTCAAGTGGTTAGAGCGTTGGGCGTACTAAAGCCTTCCTCTTACTGCGTGAGTCTGACTCCCACCGAGGCGCCAAGTTTTTCACAGTTGGGTCAATATGAATGCTTTAATTTAAAAAGATGCGTAAATTCGGGAAAAATTCCGAATAATCCAGGAGGGGGCTCAAACCCATCAGCGAAAGCACCCGAATAAAAATTAGCAAAACTCGAACTAAGCGAAAACAAAAGAAGAAGTACTGAAAGCAGAGTAAGAGTGGATTTTTTTTTCAAAAAAGGCGGGAATGACGAAAAAGTGGAGGCTTGTATTAAGAATGTAAATTTGATCCATGGGAGTGCATAATGCGTGGTCATACAAATTACTGACTTAATAAGATAATACGCACAAAAACCTTCAAAAGGTCTTCCTATATAGCCACCGAGCTAAGTATCTTCCAATAATTAGTGTAATGAACAGTTAGACAGTTATTCAGCTTCTTTATGTTTTGCGAGTCTTTCGAATGATATCCGGGAATTCGGTCGTCGGAACTGCTGCTAGCTCAGGCTGATATATCTCTTCTTTTGACCTTTGATGAGGTCGTCGTCGGACCACAGTTTTGTCACGCGCCCATTTGTCGAGAGGCTGGTTATAGACTTTGAAATGAAAACCTATTTAGCAGATGTAACCATAGGCGTACCATTTTCTGCATATTAGAAGACATTTTCCACGAAATGCTTGTATTCTCTGGTTTCGGCTGAGTCGGTGAGACTGAAAACGTTCCTGAAATGTCAGTACCCACAGTTGACTGCATGAAAACGTGACTTCTGTAATTTGTAATTTTAAAAACTTTCAAAATACGTTGCTTTTTGAAAATATTTCGGCAACGGTAGGATGAAGGACCCTAATTAACTGTCGATAGATTGTGGATCCTGTGGTCTTGGCTTTTATCTTCGCATCCATTTTCAGGCCGTTGCTCTGTCAACAGCAATAACTTCCTGTGACCTCAAATCATTGCTCGAAATCCGCTATTTTTTGAAAATTTGCTTTTTTCTTTTTTTCTATGAACGCCCTCATTATCGTCGCCATGCGAAAGCGTGCGGCAAGGCTTTTGTCGGTCTAGGGTAGATATTGGCGCAGGCGCTTGCCTGAATATAAAGCAGTGGCGATTTCAGTCTAAAAGTTTACTCTTTTTCGCCAGCAAAACGACTTAGAAGTGCATCCTGCTTTTGCAAAAAGTTTCTTTTCGCAAAACGTACAAGACCTTTAGGTAAAATTGTCGACGTCCGTAGCACCCTGGGCTGACCTGGACCTTTCTGCCTGAAGATTTCTTGTTTCTTCTGATCGGACGCCTAAGAGGCGTCACTAATACCCTCACAGCCGTTTTGCCCGAAATTTATGAACGAAATCTACGAACTCCTTCCCCCGTAAGCCACTTAAATAGGCTCGGTTATTATTTTTTCCTGTCTGTCGTCAGTGATGCTGAGGCGATGCTGTGGCCAGAGTACTTCACTAGACCCTTTCGTCAGAAATGAAATAAACACCCCTTTTTATGTCACCTGCGAAAATATTCGTACTGGTCTCACGAAAGTGATGACGCGGAAAACTGATTGGGATTTAATACTACTGTAGACATGAGAATTACGCTACTTCCCCAATCTACTGAGCTCTTTTCACGGCAGCATTATGTAGTAGGCCCATCGTCCATAAAGTTCCATCCCTATTACTGTAGGTACGCTCACATTCTTTCACACTCTTCCTACTCAGGCACTTTCCACAATATTTTGATCAGTTAGTAAAGTTAAGTCGACATCACCGACGGTCGGTTTGGGGACAGTGGCTGACCTGGCAATAAGCCCCCGTCGACGCGTTTTGTAACATAGTTCGATCATCCATTCTCCCGTCTCGCACCTCGCACTTCCTTCCCTACTCCCCCCTTCATAGGGCCTATGGGCAGGACGTGTACAGGATTATTGCCGAGGCAAGCATCCGTGATGCCCGCAAGGCCGGCGCTGAGGTGGTCAAACAGGTCTCTAACCCTCTCGTCTCCGGCCTCCTCTATCCCCTTCTGCAGGCCCTTGACGAGGTCTACCTCAAGGTCGATGCTCAGTTTGGTGGAGTTGACCAGCGCAAGATTTTCATGCTGGCAGAGAAGGTATGTTTTTTCGTCCCTTTCTCTCTCTCGGTTCCCTGTCTCCAAATATGGCCTTGCGCTAGGATTAAGACGTTTGAGCTCGAGATTAGACACATACCGAGGTATGCACCGGTGTTCTGGAAAGGCTCATCCTGATTGTCTTGAATGGTGTCTCGCACGCCTGAACCCTCAGGAGGCTAGTTGTTGGAAGAGTGTAAACTACTTGCTAAGGTTTTGCCCATACCCCTTACCTTGTTGTACGGACAATGTATCCCGCTCCACAGGAGCAGGTGAATGAGTAAATACACATCGATGGTGTCTGCAACGGGAGTCGGTCTTTACCTCCCAAGCGACTCCCGTTGCAGGCCATATCGATGTGTAATTACTCATTCACCTGCTCCTGTGGAGCGGGATCCATTGGCCATACAACGAAACGCCTGGAAAAGAGAGTACGTGAACACATACCGACCGGGCCAGGCAGAGATGAAAAGAAATCGATCTCGAGTTCTATTCTCGCACATCTTGTCGATACGAATCACGGAGTCGATGCCAAAGGAGCTTTTCAGGTTTTCTGCCGGACACCAGCAAGCTTCTCCAGAGGCCTACGCCAACGGGTGCTAGTTACAGCCGAGGCAGTGGCTATACGACTAGCCAATCCAGTGCTATGCTGTCAGAAGACTCTGACACAGGCTCTCTGTCTTCCGACCCCAACGTCGCCCCAACCTCCTGATGGCAGTGGTGTGTGCACAAAGTACCCGACGTACAAACACTACTCACAACCTATGTCCCCCCTCCACCTCGCCTCCTTGGCCCAATGACCACGACACGCCGACCACGCCATAGCACGCCTCGCCATGCGAGTGGCGTGGGAATGATGTGTGTTGTGGGAACGGTGATGGGTGTTAATAGCCCCTGGATCACTTATAAGCCCTGCAACGTCGCATAATTTCAACTTCTATGTAACTGTTTTGGCCTGATGACGAGTAGCCGAAAACACGTGTTTGTCAATTTGACTTTTCAATTGTAACATGGGAATATTCGCTACGGTTTTGCTCATACCCCTTACTGATACTGTGCATAATGCCTTCCAGGCGCGGCGAGCCGTGTCCAACGGCGAGGACCGCATCCATGCACTGATGGAATATTTTTAGTCGAGTTTTGGCCGATCTGTTTTTTTAGAGTTGGCACAGTTGGAGGTGGGCTCACCGGGACGGACTTACTGTGTTGCGTTAAGGCGTTAAATGCGCAAGGCCGAGCAGTAATCCCATTGACATGCTGGACTGGTCGGATCCTTGAACCGAACGATTTCCGTTTTCTTTTGTATCCGATTTCTCGCGGATGAATGAGATGTTCGATGACTGTCTGCTTTAAGGGCCATCACCTCAATGAAGCGGGGTTGAGCCCTTTCCTCGAACTGTTTTGCACCCTTGTCGGGTGGGTCACGAGTTTAACTTTGCAGCCGCCAGGATAGTCGCCCACGCCGGAAACAAAGCAAACCGAGAATTGATTGAAGCCTGGGCCTCGGATGAGAACTCGGTCGATCGATTTATCGATCTGGCGCCGGCGTACAGAGCCCTGCGTAGTCACCTCCAGTCTTGCGTCGTCGGTCGATGATTGGGCCTACGTGCCTTATATCTGCCGTTTGTTCTGTTGCTGCTGCTACTTCTGACGATGGACTCCTGTGCGAGTCTGAAAGCTCAGGACAATGAACAAAGTATTCCGGTTCTCGACTCTTCTTCTTAACTTATGGTGGGCTTGTTGACAGGAGTTGTCTAGTCGGTTCAATGTGATCATCCTGTTCTGGACATTTTGTGGGGCAATGATTCAGGACTTTGGAAACTGAGGGAAGGTCAGTATGCCAGTTGGTGGCGTCGGCATCGGGATGCCACGCTTCAGGTGCGAGCCATTCTGTCCTCGACCTGCCCCGGCTCAGACTTGTCGCGCTTTCAAGGTCATAAGTGTTACCACTTTCTCTAATCTATATTGAACTCTGCGCGTCTGAGTCTACTCTCCGAGTTGCCAGTTTGTACTCTACGTATGCGGGTCTGCAATTTCCGTCTAAAGTCTGTGGCGCGTACACACTCCTCTCTGAAACGTCAACAATGTAATTAGTGGTAGGGGGCGCTCACCGATCGTTCTTACGGAACTCACTCGTTCTGTTGTGCCTTACGGGCTCTCTCTCAAACCCAACCAGCAGCCGCACTGGATATGACTGGCTGAAGACGGCTAATAAGCCAGAGCTAGCCATTCCAGTCTCCCTTGCCTTCGTCGGCAATAACATACTGCCTATATAATGCGCCGCTGTGCCGCTGCTGATTGGACTCGAGAGAGAGCCCGTAAGGCACAACGGAACGAGTGTGTTCCGTAGAAACGATCGGTGAGCGTCCCCTACCATTGTATATTCCCGATCGAAACCAACAGGGCAACGGGCTCGTGTCTCAGTGGTTAGAGGCGTTGGACTTCTAACTAACGAGACCCAGGTGTTCCACGCCTCGGGATTGGGTATGACTGGCTGACGACGGCTAATAAACCAGAAATGGCCATTCCAGTCTCCCTTGCCTTTGTCGGTAATAACATACTGCCAATATAATAAGTCCGTTCTGATGAGGTATTTATCGAACTGTTCTTCAACTTAGAAGCAGGGCCAGGTTTCAGGGCACCAGCGTCTAACTTATGGAGCGGGCAGTGAAGAATTATAAAACCACAGAAGCTTTGCAATTCTATCAGTAAGTACTAGCTAGATTTTTAATAAAACCATCACGGTAGCCTCATTCTTCAAATTCAAACAGTTTTATATGCCAGCCTCTCAGGGATATTTATATTTTTTATCCCTTAAGTACACAATTTGAAGAAGCCTTTTTTTAACTGAATCATGGTAAGAAGTAGATTTTTTGTTTACTCTATAAGAACTATGAGTTACTTTATTAAAATATCGAAATAACATGCCAAACTACATCCTGATTATCGATTTTTCACTTGAGTGCGATGTGCGTAAGTCGTCAAGAGCCAGTACGCTGCTGTATACTCATTAGCACAAAATTGCATTCCCTGGTAATGAGCACTACGACCGCGGGTAGACAATTGTTTCTTTATGCAGACACATACGGACATTTCGATTACTGTTTCACACACTTCGTTACATAATAGAAGTCCTTTGAGGAGATCGTTTACTCGGACTGCCTCACCTTCCCTACTCTTTGCCGTCCGTTATTGTTTGACATGTGCAGGGTTAGAGCAGGGACAGTGACCCAGGCGTGAGTTATTTTACGGTGGTAGTAGATTTGCGAAGCATCCACCCTACTCCCCCCCCCCCTTCCTTCCCAACCTGGATCCGGTGTCAAAACGGAGTCAAAAAGACCAGAGGCGGATGGAGTTGCAGGTGGCTGGGACGGTGTAAACCCGCACCTAGGCGTACCACCTTATCCCCTGGTTCAATCCGAAGACTGACCAGGACTTTCTACTGCAACAAGGATAGAAATGGTTCACCATGCATCAGTAGGCGGGGTAAAAGTAACGCAGAATTCCGAAACCGACAAATATTCTCTTTGGAGTAGGGGAAAGTTTTGAAAGACATGATTATCCGTCCTCATCTAATAACCGATGAGTGCTTAATGTCATGCATATGAAGTAACCTGAATGAAACAGCCGAACTTTGTTGCAAATGTGAAAAATCTCAGGGTAATTAAATGGAAATTCTTTGTTTGACCAGACACTGTGTCAACTTGTCTGCGTTTCCTTCCACCTCTATCTTGCCCACAGTATCTGCCTCGACTGGGCTACAAGAAACGTATCCATCTGATGAATCCCATGGTGCCGGGCCTGACCGGCGGCAAAATGTCAGCCTCCGAAGTGGACTCGAAAATCGACCTTCTTGAACCGAGCTCCTCGGTGAAAGCCAAACTGCAGCAGGCTGTCTGTCCGCCTGGTGTCACGGCCGCCGACGGTAATGGTGTTCTCGCCTTCCTGAAGTATGTCGTCTTCCCATTGGTGCATCTGGATGCCGCCAAGGGTGAGGCCTCGGTAGTTGTTGCTCCGTTTCCGCATTCTTACTTTTATCCATACTCCAGGCCATTGAAAACAAACCGCGCCGTTGGGCCAGACGAAAGGGAGGACCGCGTATGCCTGTGGCTTCACGCCACGTCAGCCACTGCGTCCGTTTTGACGTCCCGTCGTCCTGACGTTCCCATCCAACACTTCCTTTCTTCACTATAAACAACCGTACTAGACCGTGTGTGGCACGTGTAGACGGTCTTTTTAGCTTTATTAGCCCTCGAACCTGAACAAACCTCTGGCTGTCTTTACATAATCTTGTCAACGAAGCAAGGTGTGCGAAAGATGAGAAAGTGCGATAGATGCTGCGAAAGTCTTCGATCGACCGCCTAACTTTCGTTGTCGACGATGTCAGCCATGTGCTCTACTACAGGGTGAGAGCAGGGACGGCGACTTGCGCATGAGCTACTATTAGGCGACAGTAGACTTGCGCCGCATCTACAACACTCCCTCCTCCTTCTCCTCCTCCTCCTCCTCCTCCTCCTCCTCCTCCTCCTCCTCCTCCCCTGGGTCAGGTGTCAAGACAGTCAAGAAGGCCGCAGATGGCCGGCACGACGAAAACCCACACCTAGGTGTACCACTGCACCCATTGGTTCGCAACGTACACTGGCCAGGACTTTATACCATAACAACAGTGGGGGGACGTTACGGATCCCAGTTGGTGCAGCGTGAGCCAGCAACTGGGCCTGCCACTACACCCCAATGGGTATGGGTGTGAATTCCCGATAACACCTGCCGGACTCCGACCTGGCCCTCAGTGTTGGTCCAGCGCATCTATCGCGTAGCCCGCTTTAGGGGCACAAGTCTGCGATCACTACAAACTAATTCGCACGCTCCGTGAAGCACGTGACGCGGACGCTGTGGCTTTGGACGGTCGAATTGTCGAATACATGCCTGACACGCCTCCGGTTAAGGGGAGGTCATCTTGCTGGGAGACGGAGAACGGGCCAATAATGAGAACGATGCGTCTCCTCTAGCATGCATCTATTTAGAAATTGGGCCCAGGCTGTGGCATCGGTAGTCTAACAGGCGTTCCTTATGCCTCTTGTAGTGTCTGGTTATTCTGTTTGACATTATATATATATAATGGTAGGGGACGCTCACCCTTCCTTTTTTCTCTGTTGTACCAGGAGTCTCCTGCGGAAAATCCGACTTTGCCGCCTACGAGGGATTGGAGGCAGCCTATCTGAGGGGTGAGGTCTCGGCGAACGATTTGAAGGAGGCCGTTTTTAGCCACCTGGACTGCCGTATGGACGGTCTTCGACAGAGCTTTACCAAACCGCCCTTAACCACGCTTTTGGCCAATGCATACCCCACGCATGAGTCAGCGGCGGCCGAGTCGGCTATGAAACACGCAACAGGTTTGTTCAATTTTATACCCACATGTCGTATACAGTAGTTAGTTTAACTCATAAAATGTGAGTTTCGCAATGAAATCCCTGAAATATTAAGTCGGCCCACGCTGCGTCTTCCAAATTTTCAGAGCACCAAAGAAACGACCCTTATTTAAAAGAGGACAGAATTTGGTCTATAATTTAATATTTACCAATACTGTTCGTTGTTTACTAGTACTTACTAATTTTTCCCCCAAAACTCGAATTTCAGGAGACGAATACATTTCCAACCATTTGATTAAGACTAAATATAAGGGCGCCCAACTAAGAGTATGCATGAAAGTGAGAGAGTAATGAAAAATAACAAATACAAAACGGTACTTTGTTGATTGTCCGTTCTCATTTTAAACGGAATTAAGCCTTTCAGACATGGAGACAGCAAAGTTGTCTACTGTTTTTTTTTTCAACATGATTATTAAGCACAACATCATGCTTTTCCTGCATTGCTAGTTCCTCTTCGCAAGCCTAAAAGATTTTAGATAGGATTAAGATCCCCGTTGGTCAGCAATCGAAATAATATGTAGGTCGTCGACGGCAGGGTTGGTTGTTGACTGAAAAGCTACACTACGCGACCTAACAGATGAAAGGCTTAGAAATTTGCAAATGATCGCTAATTGCCCGCAGACCGACACCAATGCGTGAATCCAATAATATTAGTAAATAATAACTCTAGGAGGTCGAAAACAAAAGAATTAATTTGCTTGGAAATGCCACTTTTTAGGAAATCGGAAAATTCCGGGAATGTCAAAAATGGTTGTTATTTTGTAATCTTTAGTTTTCGATGTACAGAAAGCCTGTCTATGCAACACACTGAGTGAACATGATAGTACAAACAGGGTAACCTCCGAAGATAATCGTCTAGTGAAGTCCACATTTAAATATCTTTTAAGAATTTGTGTAATGTCAGGTATAGCGGTCTCCCGAGAATTCGTTGTATCTTTTTCGCTTTTGTGTCAATTTAGATGCGATTCATTAAGGCAAACAGGATTTTTCTTGATTTCACCGGTAGGGACGTCATAGGAATAAACGTTTTCATAAGGCCACATGTTGCCACGCTTGTCGTTGATCGATGAATTTGAGCAGGTCTGGCAGATGTAATCCCAAACATGCCATTTTGTGTAAATAAAGTGAACTCTTCTTTCAAGAAATTAACTTGCACTTTTCCTTTGTTCTGGCTGACGCGGAGTTTCAGATCGGCCTTTGAAATATCGCTGAATACGTCGGGATTTTCTGTGTTTTCAGTTGATTGCCCATAAAGACAGATTCTGCGTTATGCGTTTATTAAAACCTTCAAAATCAGATGCTTCTTAAAAGCATTTACTGCAGTAATGAGCGTTTGGACGTTCTTTTTCATGCCTACGGTCGTTTGCGTCACATTTGAAGGCTCATCCAAACGTGAAACCTCATTGTCGCATAAAATGGACGTCCACGACAAAAGTCCGCAACAAATATGCTTTCGATCAGGTAGAAAACTTTCTCTGATAAGTTATCTTTTTAGAAGTGTTTTAGTACCGCATTCAGTTGACGGATGTACGTGTAATTCACATTTTTACACGGGAAACCAAGAAAGAATTTGACACTTTCGGCTGTTTCTTTCACGTCACCAAAAAACACGGAAGGACATGCCATTCTCTTTACACTGCAACCATTTTCATTATTTATTCTCACTTTCGCGCTCCGTTCTACGGCTATGAATGCACGACACAATAGCCATATAAATAATGATATTTTGTTGGAACTGTTAATGTTTTGCTCCTTCCGTTTCTAAATTACGTATGTGTAGAAGTTAGACCGCACGATTGCTCTCATCAAGTTTCATGAGTTAGGCCACATGCTGTAGATTATACTTGCCCGCATTACCGGAGTGGCACCTCCTTAACTAGCTGAAAAGGAGCATTATCTTTTTGAATTATGCTCTTCATTCGACGTTGATGGATGTCGTTTTAGCCGAAGACATCCCTCACCATGTTGATGAGCACCTTGCTGTTAGTATTTTCTGCTGAAGAGGAGCATTATCGTTTTGAATTATGCTCTTCATTCGACGTTGGTGGATGTCGTTTTAGCCGAAGACATCCTTCACAATGTTGATGAACACCTTGCTGTTAATATTTTGCTGCTCTCCGAATTCCATAGCCATCCAAACTATCAACTGTCGAAAGTGTTTGAAGGTTACAGGCGATGTAGCGCGCACTGTTGGGAAGTTCTTGCCACATATGACCATCTGGGTCGCATTCTTAGGCTTATCCAAGAATAAGACCTCACCACGGAAGAAAGCACCAATCCAAAATGAGGGCTTGTAATCAGCCTACCTCTTAGCCAATAAGGGGAACTTATCTAATCAATTTCTTATTTAAGATGACCTTGTCATGGCTTTTTGCAAATGAGGCACAAATTCCCTCATCCTTTTCGTAGTTGTCGCTTTAGGGAACATCGGCAACTGTTTCCTGTTAAAGGCTTCAACGGACATATAACGATACTTATTTCGGGTTCGACGAATAAAAATCGTAGTCTTACTTACTTGTAGACCATTCTAGTCCGTCCTGCTTATTTCTATCTCTGATAATTCGCCAAAGCGCGACCGCGCTAATACTAGATGCTAGCGGCTGACGCAACAGCTCTACGGCTGCCAGTCCTCGCATCAGTTTCTTCAGTGTAGGAGCATTCCTCGACCACTGTAAGCAAGGTGTGTCGACTTGCAATAATAATAATAATAATAATAATCATCATCAATACAACGTAGTTGTTGCCTGTCTGAAGTACGGTCGGGCACTCAGATTCTCAGGTACTGGATATTTTTTGCAAATTAAATACTCCTTCAAACTGACTTATACCCGCATGAATGACTGCGGGTGTTTCCCATTTGCCGCCAATTTCCATCCTCTAGAAACCAAATATAACATGGGGTGTTTGGAATGGCGGAAATTATTAAAGATAGAACGGCCCCAAAAGACGGCAATTCGATGAGTTTTTTTTGGGCGTTATTAACCAACTGCGTTGCCGTCTTTCGCGCAGAAAGGCAGCAAGTCGATTCCTCTGTCCGGAGTCAGCGCATGTAGGCACAAGAAAACGACATCCTGGCCATAAATTCCATTTACACTTCAAAAGAAAACCCATCAATCAGGCGTCTGTGCCGGTAACGCGATTTTTCAAATCTACTAGCTGGTAAAGCAAAGTAAAAATTGAAGAGTCGGTTGGCGAACATGTGTTTTCGGTAACTCATCATCAGACCGATACAGTTACCAGGGTAATGATCATTCGAATTGTAGACAGGGGCAGGGTTAATCGGGCTCCATGTTCTCACTCCGTCCGCATAACGGAGTCAGCGTGTTGAGGATGCTGGAGTTGGGGTGGGAGGGGGAGGGGGGTGTCGGTTAGATTGTAAGCGCTGTAAGTGCGTGTCACTGCTCTCAGGGCGTCGGGACGGCGTGCGATCAGCGTCTGGAGTCGGTCAGGGCAGACAGACTGCTTGTGTCAGCGTCTTCAAACAACAGAGTGCTGGGTTCGCTAGTCGAATGGCCAGTGCTTCGGCTGTGGCTAGTACCCGTTTGTGCAGGCCAAAGACTACGTTAATGTACAAATAAGCGTCTTAAAACACGAAAAGGACTGAGAGTGAATAAATAACAGGCAATGCCGTCATAAATGCAAAGGCCAGTGGATTGGATGCAAACCCCTCCCGCAGACTGGACCCCACGCCTGACACGCGCAATCGTAGTCACCTTTTGTAGTACAGGGAATGCTGGATAGTCACATCTGTTTAAGCGAGGATCTTTAACTGTCATTTCCCAACTTCTTCAGACTCTGCTGCAGCCTCCCTCTCTTCGGAGCACATCCGATCCCTGACCGAGGTCTTCTCCAAGCTCACATTCACGGAGGCAGGAATGTCGCCGGCGGAGGCTGGGACTACTCTAGAGGCCATCTGCTCTCTCCTGCCTGAATCACGAACCGCCCTCAGTGCCAGACTTGCCTCTGGCAACGGGTCGAAGTTCATTCGCTGCTTGTGGAGCCTCTCACCCAGTGGTCTGCCCCACCTAGGCCACACAGTGGCACTGCGACTGCTGGCTCAACTCTCACGCATCACTGGCGTTCATGTAAGTCCCATCCTCCTCACTCCTAGCCCACTTTGATGTTGGATTTGGGCCCAAATTGCAGGTGTTCCCCTCCGACTACAGCAAATAAACCAGTAGGAACCGCTGCATACCTCCTGAGTTTTGTCGTGCTACTTCTAAATTGCTGGTCGTGTGTCGTCATACCATCGGGTCGAGAGGGGGTCCTAATTTGAAGTCGCCGTATTTCGTTTTGCAACTAGAGCAGATTGGCAAACATCACCTCCACGTGGTGACTTTGCATAATCTCAATCAAAGCCAACAAGGGGTGAACGGGTGGCTGAAGTATTAGAGCTCCGGGACCAAGTGAATCCAATTACAAATTTCTGCACTCCTAAGACTGTCGTGGGGCTCTGACGGCCTAGTGACAGCAAATAATTAACCAGAAATTACTATGGCAGGCTCCTTTGCCTTTGCCAGTGGTACTTCTCAGCACTATGCGACTATCCTAAAAGGGCTGCGGTTCGTAACCCCAGCTACGATATGATGATAATTACCATGGTAGAGGGGCGCTCACTGAGCGTTTCCACGGAACTCAGTCGTCTCGTTGCGCCCTACGGGCCCACTCTCGAGCCCAACCAGCAGCCGCACAGCTGCGCAGGATATAGGCGGAATAGTATTACCGGCAAAGACAAGGGAGACGAGTGTGTTCCGTAGAAACGATCGGTGAGCGTCCCCTACTATTGTATATTCCCGATCGCAACTGGCAAGACAACGAGCCCGTGGCTCAGCGGTTAGAGGTGTTGGATTTCTAACTAACAGGTCGCGGGATCGAGCACCAGGTGTTCCACACTTCGGGGTTAGGTATGACTAGCTGGCGACGGCTAATAAGCCAGAAATGGCTATCCCACTCTCCCTTGCCTTTGTCGGTAATACTATTCTGCCGATAATGACCATTCTCGATTACGACGTGCAAAAAGGCCAGTGTGGGCGGTGTTGCTTATCACGATGGTTATGCTGCCCGGAAGGTAGATTCTACTTCCAATTAGGGTAATCTACCAACCTGCCGTCCAAACGAGCCAAGTCCTACTGCGCGTGGGTAGGTTGACATTTAAAGTACACACACACACACCGTCATTCTCCTAGTTAATGCATGGCATTAACCGGCATCTCCCCTCGTCCCTCGCTCTCCTGCCGTAGGTGATCATCCTGATCGACGACATCGCCGCCTTCCTCCAAGGCGAATGTTCCTGGCAGCTGATGAAGCCTCGGAGCGTCTTTGTGGAATGCGTCGTATCTAGCGCCTTCAGGGCCCTCGGTGGGGACGCCAGTCATATGACGGTTCTCCACGGCAGCGATTTCAAATTCGAGGGGTGAGTACGCCTGTCCCCCTTTTTCCTTGACCCCCCCCCCTGCCCTGTAGTCGGTGCATTTGACTATAGAATTGCAGACCTGGGCGAAATCTACCGTAAATTAAGTAGAGCCCTTTCCAACAGGTTTCTTCATGTTGGCGAGTGGGGGGATGTTCCGTCGAAATTGACTTGGAGACGTGTTCTCTGCCAGTAAGTCTTGCGGCCTCCCCGAAGCAGCGTTGAGCCCAAGACGACGGCTGATTCTTATGGACTAATGCCATATTCTCAGTACGTAGACGCATCAAAGGATTTCGGTCCGAGTTCCTGCAATTTCTGTGCATCCTATGAGCCTCATGAAGACCAGGATCATGTTTCAAATGAAAGCATCCTCTTCTTTCCAGATGAAAGAAAAACTGCAGAATCATCGCAAGGTTACAGTGATCCGAAACTCCTACAAGCCTCTTACCTTTTTGATGTACACACAAATTCCAGGCCTCCTCAGCGATGGCCTTTTCATCAACAGCAATAATCAATCCTCACACCCCAAAACTGCCCCCACTGTCAGCTCACATCTACAGTTAGACTTGGATTCGTCAGTCACCTTCGAACACAGCATATCAGCTAATAGCAAAGTCCTGCATCTGTCAACAGCAATCATCGCTAGCCAACTAGTCTGCAGTGTGTCTCGTATGTGAAGTCAGAACCGAAGTTTTACAGTGTCCGCTAAGACGGCTACCTCATAATCGATCAGAATGGGAGAATGGAATTCGTTTGTGACGTCAGCCACTGGTAGCAATGCGGATGGCAGGGCGATGAAATGGTAACAAGTGATCAACCCAGTACTGCCGCCAAATACAGAGTTTACCGGAATTCCGGCCACATAATGCAACCCAACAATGAGCAAGGCGCGACGAATCGTCAAACCCGCGGCGTTCGGGATTACAACCAAGGAGTCCAATGGACGAAGCCTTCGACGCGGAACAACAGTAAACACCCCGTCCAGACATGCTGCCACTCACAATTGATGTCGACCTCGATGGCCAGCGGTCCACCATGCTGAGGCGGCAGAGTAATCACCAGTGCATTGTAGGAGAGGGGAAAAGTACGGCAGAGTCAACAGCAGTAGCAGTGCAGCGTGTCTCCTATGCAACAGTGTAAGAGGTCAGGACCCAAATTGTACAGCGGACGTTAAGAAAAGCACCTCCTAAGTGATCAAAAAGAGACGCAGAACCCCTTTTTAAAAGCCGAATGCCAGATCGATGAAATGGCTACGAAAGATCAAAAATGTCACCCCAAAATCAAGGAAGGCAGGTGAACAAAACTGTCGCGAAAGGGCAAAACAGCAGCACAGCGACATCTACGCGTGATGAACACTAACTGGAACATTAACTAACGTGAACCAGATTTTCCCTAACTCTCAATCTAAGCTGTGAAACGCTGCCGACGCCTAATTATATCTCCCTGCACAGTCACATTGTAAAATCGCGTTGCAAACCCAAGTCAGTCTGTTTGAGTACTTGTGTGTCCACGCACAAACGCACATATCCGACACTATCTTTCGAAACAGTACTATCACAAAATAGAGAAGCTCTGGGCCATATTCTTCAACCCACAAATAAGCAAAGCAGGACGAAACGCCAGACTGGCGGCGTTCGGAATTACAACCGAGGAATTCAACGGACGAAGCGTTCGATGCCACGGCTGCACAATCTCCGTCCTGACATGCTGCCGCCCCCCACCCCACCCCGTGGCTCTTACAGCGTCTCCATATCCATAACAACCACGCACCAGCATCACTCCTCCATTCGCTCGATGTCCACTTAGATTCCAATCAATAAACAACAAGTCAGATAGGGAAACTGATGAAACGGTGCAGCGCAGGCCACAGCAGGTGAACTAATAACACCCAAGGACGGTCGACAGTAGCACAGAGCTGTATGTAGGGAATCACCGTCAACTTTCACAATAACAGCCCAATAATGATGGGAAGTGTTTAATACACTACCGGGGAACGAGACGACGGCCCATTAACCATGCACGTCATAACTGTCAGATCTTTTAATAAAATCTGTAGCAAATGGGAGGCTAATCGCTGTAACCATGTAATCAGCCTTACCATCACTGATGCCTGCAGAGAACGAGCTCTCCACTTAAATGTCAATAAGCGTCACGCATTGGTTCACCGTATGAATGTCACCGCGAACTTCTGACTGAACCCAGTTTTATGCCGTAGACAGTCACATTGTCAAGTATTCTGAACTCTCTCAGAGATGAAGGCCTAACCTGGCAGTCAGTCAGATCATACACCTCTCTTGGAGAGATTACTGATACGTCCTCAGCCTTTTTTTAAAGGACCGAATTATGCTGCTCCGGGAAGCGATGAACAGGCATACTCGAAGCTGATCACCGAGCTGGAAGAATGCACTCTGTCATGTGCGTCTTCAAAGTGGAAATCGATCGGTCACCCAATCGGGAAATGGATTTTTTGATGGCACATAAGGTCCTGTCGCGAAATCAGCTACGACGCTCGCCCGAATAGCTACCACAGACGGTGATTTTACTCGGCTTTTGTTAACCGAAACGGGTGAAAGTAACGCATGACAGCGTTTCTCGAAACACAAGAGGGAGAAAGAGCCTGGGATACAGGATTCATGATAAAGGCGGCAGGAAGGCAGAATGTCGGCGAAGAAATTGTCTGACATTAGGAATGGAGTCTAAAAATGCCGGAAGCCACATGAGAAAGGGGGAATAAAGGACGGGACGCAAATGAAGGACGTGCAAATAAAACAGAAGGGAGGTAAGAGAAGTAGAAATAGAATGACGCACAAGGATTGCTCGAAAAGGAAACCTGACATGTCCAAAATTGTGTAGAATGGGAGCGAATTGGACAAAGGCGACAAGTTAGCGGAGTGGGAAATGAGACGAAAGCCCCAAGCCCGCCGACTTGACAAACGCATTCTAATGGGAGCCACAAATGAATAGAAAATCACCTGGATAGAGCGTAAATTGCATAGCAGATCGCATACGCGATGGACGCCAGGTGGTTTCTCGAGGATGGTTAATAAGTTAGGTTTTAAAGTGGATGTTGAAGCGTGTCGGAAACGGATTATCTTTAGATTGTTTTATGACAGCCAAGATGGCCAGGCATCCCTAAGGCGTGAAGGCGAGGACTTTGAGCGAGTAGGCCTATCAGAGTAGGAAAAGTGAAGTAAGCAGGCACGTGGACAGTTGTTAACACCGCGCTGAAATGTTCACACCCGAATGAACCGGTGACGCCTTCCTCCAATAGTCCGAAAAAAATGCTCCCCGAAGACGGTCGGTGGTGATGTTAGACCCGGTAGCTGGCTGAGCATTTGTTCTCATCTTTCAGATGACTCATATGCGGTTCTTTCCAAACCTACGGTGGCCCGGCTCCACTCCTCCGGCTGTCATGTCAGTAGGCGTTGCTATAAGGTCACGTTAAGCCGGCTCCCTCGCAACCTGGTTTTCACCCCGAGGATCAAGTTAGCCCATCAGCTGTCAAGTTTCCAAGTCCGGCTTCTAGTCCACCGTGGTAATTTAATTCTGCATTGGATTGGTTATAGTGGGACGGGGCCGCGTAGCGACATTGATTTCGCTGGCTTCTCTATCTCTCTCTTTGCGACCGAGTACAACTTGCAAAACTGAGTCACAGGCCGACCGGAGCCGAGTCCGGACGCGATGATCAGTCAGACCTTGGCATCCGCCCTGCCGATGTTGCACACCTGACCCGTCAAATGCCACCCTTGACAAAGGTGATTGCCTGCTGCCTCTTTTGCATGTCCCTGAACTGCATTTTATCTTTCAGGCAGAGAGAATTATCTAGCATTTACCTCTACCTCCCCTCACCCATTTTAATGCTGCTGCTGCTTCTGTCTGCTTTAGAGCTTACATGCTGGACCTCTATCGCCTGGTCAGTCTGGTGCCTGAACAGGACGCCGCGCAGTTCAGCGGAATCTCTGCTGCCTCTCTGACTGGCGACGATGACGCTTCGGGTGCAACTGCGGCTCCTGGAGCCGGCCTCTCAGCCCTCATCCTGCCCTGCACCGATATGCTTGACACTGTGCATATTCGGGCCGACATTCGCCTTGCCAGTCCGGCCACATCCGAGCAACGAAGGCTGTTTGCAGAGAAGGTATGAACTCCCCTGTGGGCGGGTTTCTGTTGGTATATGCTGTGCAGCTTTCAGCGTGCAGTATATGACATGCGGCAAGTCAGATCGCACTGGGCTCGTTATCGTTGCGGTGCCTGCTTTTGGTAATATATTGGAGGGAGTCTTTCACGCCACATCAGTCATTGCTCCTGATCTCTCCGCCACCTGGAGGACAGGAGGAGTGAGTTTGAAGGGCGCACTATATGTCATGCCTTTGAAGGTTGGCAACTGACGAGCTAACTTCGTTCACCTGTGGTATGACAGTCAGGATGCCCCGGTTCCTTCTGAATGTCGCCCTTGTGGCACCTCACACGCTAGACGGGGACATTGCATCAGACCTGCAAGTGCGTCCAATATCGGCCTTGACTCAGCTGTCCACTGTCACGTGGGAGCGGAATGAGCAAGTAAGGCCGACCTAGCGCTTAGTTTCTGTCGCCTAAACAATCGGACGATGCGCCAGTAGTCGTTACCTGCATGTCGCCGACTGCCGTAACAATTAGATTGTACTCAGGACTGATCGACAGTGCACCCTAGTGTCCCCTTACGACACTCATGTGGGTCCCGAACTACCTACTTCCTGTCTGGCCCACACAAAACTAGGTCGCGTGTGTGGCACGCGTAGGCCGGATGTTTTGCTTCGTCAACCACTTCGCCCACGCTTGTCTCCAGTTCTTTTGACTCTGCCTCGCCAGTTGAGCGGGGGTGAGCACGCGTAGACCGACAAACGCCCAGCTCTAGGAGCGAGTCCGTAAGTACCCAACCGACCAATCAGGAGGCGCTCTCGACTGCCTGGTCGGAGATTGGCTCCGTAGGCTCCAAGATAGGATCGAACTTAAAATTATTCAGCAAAGCCAAGGGCTTTAACGAGAGGGAATAAATACTCTCTGTTTGCGTTATTTGCAAGTCGGGCGTGAAAACTTATGGAACTGAGATTTAAATCGCTGCCTGTTGTCGCTTGGAAGGGATTCCTGTTGCTAGTAAGCTATAATGCCGCCAATCATACAACCTAATCACAAGTAAGCTCATACTCCGTAGCATGCTGGCTCTCCACTGAGGAACCTACCTAGCTAACCACGACAATTTTGTCCGAGACTATTACTATTTCAGTGATTCTTTAAGGTGCTCCACGTCAGATGATTTGACAATGGCGAAGGTGTCATCGGTTGACCCGAATATCTAATTCACGATGGAAGCCGAAAGAAACAACCAACTTCCCTTCCTCGATGTCCTTGTGCGTCGGTGTGCAACCGGGCAATTACAAACAACCGTTTTCAGAAAAGCCACCAACACAAGACAAATACTACACTTCAACAGCAATCACCCCCTCTCTCACAAACGCAGCTGTGTCCCGTTTATTCAAGAGGAAGTAACCTCTTAAAGAAGAGTTCGAGGAGCATATTGGTCTCATCCAAACGTCGAAAAACTATGACGTCATGTTAGTATTATTGAAGTCTCTTCAACCGAAACGTCACTACAGGTGTCCTGTACGACCCCCGATCTGTCCCCTCAGTCAATTTCACATAACCTCCCTGTCATACCCTGCTGTCTCACGGAGGGGAGATGTGTCACAGCTGCTTTTCTGTTAGAAAGGTGGCGTGGTTAGCCTCGAATGCGGTTCTGTTTCATCTGGCGGTCATGTTGCGGTAGAAATTCCTCTCAGCACCATTGGACCCTGCCAAATCCGGTCGGCCAAAAACCAGCCTAGACCATTGAACTCCGGACAGCAGTTGCGTGGGGTTGTTTGGTAGACAAGCGGCCTAGTGTCCCTCTGGATTCGAAGGTGTACTCCCGTTTGCCACTCCTCCAGCATACCCGTCTCTCGGATGTTAGCGAGTAAAGTTTTATTAGATACCCTCAGTATCTAAAGTGCTTCTACGATTTGTGATTTCTTGGTGGGTAGCTGGTGTGCTAGAGACTTGCCCAGCGCTGCCTGAAGGTGTTACCGACAGTTGATTTGCTACTGTCTATACTGTTTCGCCATTCGTCAGCGACAGTGACTTGCGACCATTAAACCCCTGGCGGGGGGCAATGGGGCCTTCTGAGTGTCACCGGAGCAATTACGTCATTGTGCGAATTTCTTGGATTCTTGTGCCATACCTGCCTGCATTGTTGCCTTACTTCAGAGTTATTTCCCTCTCAAAACTTTTACTTACTTACCACTACTACTACTACTACTACTACTACTACTACTACTACTACTACAACATACCCAGCGTCCAATACCACTGGTGTTCATGGTTCTTTCTCCTCCCCCTCCCCCTCCCCCCCCCCACCCTACAGTTCCTGACGGTCTTTGACAGCACGGCCAAACCCGCCGCCTTTGTAGGCCATCCGCTTCTGCCCTGCCTGGCTGCAGCTTCCGCGGCAAGCGAGGCGACCACCACCAGCTCTGTGGGCCCCATGTGCTCCTTCACGCCCCCTGCTCGCGACCCGCGCCTGGCCAAGTCGCCCTCCGCTCAGGCTGCTGCCAAGACGGCCGCGGACCAATGCGCGCCGCTCATTGAGCCACCTGCGCCCGGTCTTGCCCTCCAGCCCCTGCCGGGCCTCAAAAGGCGTCTGAAGCAGGCCTTCTGTGAGCCCGGGAATGTCGCCAATAACCCCGTCCTCGATATCCTCAACGCGGTCATCCTGCCTGACGTTGGGCCGACTGGTAGGCTTCTGGTTTTGTCAGGCGGTGAAGGCTGGCCACCCCTTTCGTTCGGCCTTTGCGTCTCACCTTGTTGATGCTTTTTCTGTGTTAACCTTCACAGCGTGCACTCACCTTAAGTCTAATCTCCTACATCAACCTCCCCGCTTTCATTCGCTACGGTTCAGAGCGTTGTGGCAACTCGAAACACCGCGACTGCCTGTGTATACTTCGCTTGCAACAACATGAGTGCCTACATGCCATCCGAGTTAGGTTTGGCTGCGTTAAGTGGCTCCTTCTACGGGGGATGAGGCGAGAGGTAAATGGGAACCTGCGCGTGGAGTGAATACTAACGGCAAAGAGGCAGAATGAAGACGACTGCAGGTGAACGTTGATTCACCGTCACCTGGTTCCCCGTCAGTAGATGCACGTGCGCTCCCGCTGGGTATACAGGTGGTGGGCATGGCTGCCCAGTCATCATCCTCGTTCTTCTGACCCCTGTTGGCGTGTTGTTTTTGCTGCTGTTGTTGTCAGCCATTTGCTGTGTGGACCAGGGGCTGTGGAGTGGAACGCCAAGGTGCGGCTTCAACTGTGCCATCCATCTGCGCCCCACCCTCGCCTCCGGTTTTCTTGACACTGTCTTGACACCGGGTCCAGGTGGGGAGTAAGGATAGAGTGCGATGGATGCTGCGCAAGCCTACTATTACTTTAAACTGATTCACGCGCAAGTCACCGCATATGATTCACCTTTCAGTGGAGCGCACGGTAGAGATCGTCGAAAACGGCGGTCGAACTGTCAGTGGCGAAGACTTGTACAGCATCTGTCACTCACTTTCTTCTCAAACCTACAATGTTCCATCGGAGAGGGAGACTGGCAACGATTGGAGGTGAACTTTGACTCACTACCTGACCAGGCTTGTCACGCAAGTGCTCCTTCACCGCCTACCAGCACCACTAGACAGCCTGTGGTACAGATAATGAGTCTAATGTCGCAATTTCACCCTGCTTGAGGCCGTTGTTCAATTGGATAAACAGGACGACAGGTGTGTTTTGCGGGCAGGGCGGAGGCGAATACCTGACCGTTCATCGCGCCCCAACTCGGCTCCGGTCGGCTCATGACTCATTTGCGCAAGTAGTACTCGATCAGAGGGTGAGGGCGGGAGCCAGTGAGACCGAAGCCGCTAGGGAGCACACCCATGCATGCAGATCTGGATTATCACGGTGGGCTAGATGGCGGATTGTGAGAGCTTGGCGGCTGGTGGGGTGACTTGATCCTCGCAGCTGTGAGCCAGGTTGCAAGGGCACCTGCTTAACTTGACCTCATAGCAACGTCTACCGATATAACAGCTGTGGAGTGGAGTCGGACCACCGTAGGTTGGGGAAGAAACGCATATTGAATGACGAGGACGAGGACAAGATGCCCCAAGCCCACCTCTGACCATTTCTGCCCAGTGTTGAGATTGGAGAATGAAGAGCATGGTTTGAGTGAGTGCAGTGGACGGTGGGGCAGTCCCCTGCACTGAGATCGAATTCACGCGCAAGTCCTCAATGCTCCCCCGGGGAGTATTTTTGTCGAACTATCGGGGGAGGCATCTCTGGTTCTTTCGGGTGTGAACATTCCAGCGCTCATTGATGCGCGGTGTTAACAACTGTCCACGTGTGTGCCTTCTTCACTTTTCCTACTCTGATAGGCCTACTTGTCCAACGTCCTCCTCTTCACGCCTTCGGGGGATGCCTGGCCATCTTAGCTGTCATAATACTACCTAGGGGTAATCTGTTTCCGACACGCTTCTGCATCCACTTTAAAACCTAACTTATCAGTCATCCTCGAGAAAACACCTGACGTCCATCGCGTTTGCGCTCTGCTATGCAAGTTACGTTCTATCCAGGTGATTTTCTATTCATTTGTGGCTCCCATTAGAATGTGTTTGTCAAGTCGGCGGGCTTTCGTCTCATTTACCACTCCGCTAACTTGTCGCTTTTGTCCAATTCGCTCCCATTCTACCCAATTTTGGACACGCCAGGTTTCCTTTTCGAGCACTCCTTGTGCGCCATTCTCTGTCTACTTCTCTTACCTGCCTTCTGTTTTATTTGCACGTCCTTCATTTGCGTCCCGTCCTTTATTCCCCCTTTCTCATGTGGCTTCCGCATTTTTAGACTGCATTCCTAATGTCAGACAATTTCTTCCCCGGCTTTCTGCCTTGCTACCGCCTTTATCGTGAATCCTGTATCCCAGGCTCTTTCTCCCCCATCGTATTTCGGGGAACGCTCTCATGCGTTACTTTCACCGGTTTCGGTTAACAAAGGCGAGTAAAATCACCGTCTGTGGCAGCCATTCGGGCCGAGCATCGTAGTTGAGTTTAACAACAGGACCTTCTGTGCCATCAAAAAATCCATTTCCCGATCGGGTGACCGATCGATTTCCGCTTTGAAGACGCACATGACAGAGTGCATTCTTCTAACTCGGAGATCAGCTTCTGGTATGCCTGTTCATCGCTTCCCGGAGCAGCATAATTCGGTCCTTTGAAAAAAGGCTGAGGACGTATCAGTAATCTCTCCAAGAGAGATGTATGATCTGACTGACTGCCAGGGTAGGCCTTCATCTCTGGGAGAGTTCAGAATACTTGACAATGTGACTGTCTAGGGCATAAAACTGGGTTCAGTCAGAAGTTCGCGGTGACATTCATACGGTGAACCAATGCGTGACGCTTATGGACATTTAATTGGCGAGCTCGTCCTCTGCAGGCATCAGTGATGCTAAGGCTGATTACATGGTTGCAGCGATTAGCCTCCCGTTTGCTACAGATTTTATTAAAATATCTGACAGTCATGACGTGCATGGTTAATGGGCCGTCGTCTCGTTCCCCGGTAGTGTATTAAACACTTCCGATCATTATGGGGCTGTTGTTGTGAAAGTTGACGGCGATTCCCTATATACAGCTCTGTGCTATTGGCAACCATTCTTGGGTGTTATTAGTTCACCTGCTGTGGTCTGCGCTGCACCGTTTCATCAGTTTGCATATCTGACGTGTTGTTGACGACTGAGTGGGAGCTTTGTAACTAGTTGGTACGATGTGCCCGGAGATGACAGAGGAATTCGTAACCGACTGTAAATGTAAGGGGCAGTTTGGAGGTGCCTTTGTTGTTGTTGGCTGGTGCGGCCGTTGAACATGCAAGCACCTCTACGGATGTCCTGGAATCTAAGTGGACATCCAGCGAATGGAGGAGTGATGCTGATGCGTGGTTGTGATGGATATGGGAACGCTGTAAGCACCACGGGGTGGGTTGAGGGGGGAACAGCATGTGAGGACGGAGATTGTGCAGCCGTTGAATCGAACGCTTCGTCCGTTGAATTCCTCGGTTGTAATTCCGAACGCCGCCAGTTTGGCGATTCGTTCTGCTTTGCTTATTTGTGGGTTGCAGAATATGGCCCAGAGCTTCTGTATTTGGTGATAGTACTGTTTCGAAAGATAGTGTCAGATATGTGCGTTTGTGCGTGGACACATAGGTATTCAAACGGACTGACTTGGGTTTGCAACGCGATTTTACAATGTGACTGCAGGGAGATATAAATAGGCATCCGCGACGTTTCATAGCATATATTGAGAGTTAGGGGAAATCTGGTTCACGTTAGTTAATGTTCCAGTTCGTGTTCATCACGCGTAGATGTCGCTGTGCTGCTGTTTGGCCCTTTCGGTACAGTTTTGTCCACCTGGCTTCCTTGAGTTTGGGTTGAAATTTTTGATCTTTCGTAGACATTTCATCGATCTGCCGTTCGGTTTTCAAAAAGGGGTTCTGCGTCTCCTCTTGATCACTTAGGAGGTGCCCTTGATAACGTCCGCTGTAAAATTTAGGTCCTGACCTCTTACACTGTTGCATAGGAGGCACGCTGCACTGCTGCCGCTGCTGATTATGTCGTACTTTTCCCCTCTCCGTCCCCCCCCCCCCTCTTACAGAGGCACTGGTGATTCCTCGGCCGGCTCAGCATGGTGGACCGTTAGTCATCGAGGCCGATGCCAACCGTCGCCAGCGCCTGGAGTCCCTCTTCGCTGAGGGCACACTTCACCCAGGCGATCTCAAGGGCCTGGTGGAGGCGGCTCTCTGTGGGACTGGCATAGGAGGTCGACCCTCATTGGCTAGTCGGTTGACCGAACATTTGCCCGACACCTCCGAGGTCAGCTGCCTTCTAGATGCTGCCTTCCCTCCTCTTACTGGTGCCGGCAAAAAGGCTGCGAAAATTGCAGCGCATCCTACAACGAGGTCGGACGCGCAGACATCAAAGAAGACAAAAGGCAAGCAGGAGCAGGGCTCGGGTGAGTGCTTGTGCTTGCAGACATGTCATCGCTTCTTATTCTTCCTGCCGCTCCCATTTCTACGCTCCCTGAAGTAATCACTCTCCGTTTAGTTTGTTTGTCGATCAGATCCCGACCTGTATCTCGGTTTGAACCACTGGTGCAGTCCTGTTTCATGCTGGGATGTCCACCACGCATTATGCTCGGATGATCACGGGTTTCTTAGGATGTCGGCTGGTGGACATTCTTCTGAGGCTTATGCAGTTTTACTTTAGCCTGGGAAAGAATGCTGTCCTTTGAGATTTCGGTAAGGCTGACTCATATGGTCCCCTAAACAATACTGGTGTTGCTTTGAGCCGATTCCCGGTGGAACTAGGGTTACGTTTAAGGTTAGGGTTATGGTTTAGGTAGAACTTTGATTTAAGGCTAGATTTAAAGTTAATGGTAAGGTAATTCAGGGCCAAACTTAGGGTTAAGGTTGGGGATAGTGCTAACTGTATAGTTGAAGCTTAGGGTAGGATTGAGGTCAAGATCAGGGCAACAATTTGGTTTTATATTAAGTTTATTGCTGGAGAAAGAGCACAAGAATATTTGCCCACCCTTATTACTTGGACAGGGTGTTCTTATTCCCATGTCCTGTTTAAGGGGCCATATAAGTCAGTCTTCCCGAAATTTGAAACGGAAGCCCATCTTTTTAAGTGCTTACAGTTGCCGTATGCCGTCATACACATGGAATCTGAATTGACGTCCTTTACCGCGCTTTGAAGCTGGAGATGGTCAACTGGTTCGTATGAACTTGCCGTCGTTTTGGGCTCAATGCTGCCTAGATGAGGCTGCTAGGTTGACTGGTTGGGGACACAAATCCAAGTTATTTTCAAAGTAACAGCGTGCTGACCTTTAGCGGAGCATCTTTCTACTCAACGCTAGAGAAAAGCCTATCGGAAAAAGTACGACTTCTTTTGAAGTGGACGTCGATCGGCCCTTCTTTACAGTAGTCCAGTTCGCTGGGGGGTTTTCGAGAGAAAGGGCGACAGACGCACTTACCCCTCGAATTTGAAATCGCTGTCGTAGAGACTCGTCATATAACCGGGGGCCCTGAAGGCGCTACCTATGACGCATTCCACAAAGACGCTCCGAAGCCTCATCAGCTTCCATGCACATTCGCTCTGGAGGAAGGCAACGATATCGTCAATTCCTAATGACGATAAGAGGGCGAGAGGGAGGACAGATGCTGATAATGATAGCAGCATTCACCTTCTCGGCATCATTGTCGTTAGGATAAGCAACAGCATCAACAGTGGCAGTATTTTGAAAGCCCTAATCGAAGATGGCCACCATCACCATCATCATCATTGTTACCATCATATCATGGCTGAGGGTTTTGTGATTTTTGTTTTTGCTGTTATGATACACTGGGCGGTGCCTGGTGATTTCGATTCTAGCCCCCGATGTTTGTTGGCAGTGGGCTATGGTACAGTTTGGATCGTTGTCGCCGTTGCTGCTGAAAGAGCAACTGTCATTACGGATAATTGTCGTCTATGTGGATGCCAGCAGGAGCGTATCGATGTAATAAGCAAGGTGATAAACCTCGAGCGCACTTCTTGTCCTGCGTACTTCAAAAATCCGCCACGGACTGTTCACCGTGGACTGTAATCACTCGAGGCCTGTTCACCTGGGGACCGTCGTCAGGAGTATGCATTGGTTTTTGATGTTCTTGGCGGTTGCACTTCGAACTTGCTATTATTCGTAAGACTTATACCGTGTCGGAGGCCATTGTGGTACATCTTATTCTCTTTTACTCCCTCCTGTTGTCTAAGTCGTTCTAGTTCCTTTTTAGTCCCGACAGAATCCAAGCGGAAACCGACTGAATTTGATCCCAATCTTCTGGAGATACGCGTTGGTCAAATCGTCTCGGCAGAACCGGTGCGTCACCTCACAATGTTTTTTCACCTATTATGTCTACTTTTGCATTTTAGTAGATCTTAAATACCCTTCTAAACTGCACCTTCTACTCTAATCCTAGCATTTCCGTGGTTTGGTTCTGAGTAACGTGATTTACTGTTTAATCTAATCCTCTTACACTACTGCCCTCCTGTATGCAAAGCGGCCGCGTGATGCTTATTCCAAACTTCCTCTCATCTGTCCGACAACTTCTGCCCTCAGGTTTTTCTGCATTGGCTCTATCCCTCCGACAGAACCAGTGACTGCTCCATGAATTTCAATTGCCACTCGACTGGCTGCCCTCAGAAAAGCCACACTCCCGTTCGTCACACTTTCCACCCGGGTCGGACAACCTATCGGACGAAACTCGTCGGTCTAACTCCCGGTGACCACTCGGATTATGCTAGTGGATAAGGGTTACAGATTACGCCTGGGTCTCGTTTATCGTCAATTGAACAAGGGGACCGTTTGCGATTCCTTCTGAGTTCGTGCACGCATTGACTCTCCGGCTGGCGTCTCTTAGTTTCTTACCCTAAGGGTCCGCCTTGAGGGTCGTCCTAAGATCGCGTGAGTTCGCCCCACCTCTGTCCATCGATTCCGCACTCTGTCCATGGGCCTCGCCAACACTATGGCCACTATGTCCGTCGAGACCTACCTCTCATCCATCACCTGTCTTGTGTACCTTGATGACATCGACGTCCATGGTAAATCAACTAGTCACCTGCTTAAGAACCTACAGCAAGACTCTGGTTTCACAATCAACTCGAAAAAGTTCCGAAGACGATATTTTTACTGACCCCCGAAAAAGTGCAACAGACTGACTGACTACGTAGTCCAACTCTTCGATTTGGCCCTTTACTATCTCTGTCTTGTCTACTACTTTGCAAATATCACCATCTCATCCTCCTAGCCCCAAAGAGCGACATTTACACTGGGAAACCAAATGCACACTCTGTCCCCTCCCCACTCTCGCCCTGGCTGATCCATGATCCAGCATTCGTCGTAAGCACCAATATCAGCGATTTCTTTATGTGCGCAGCACTTAACCAGCAAGGACGAGACGATCGGGATCATGTCTAGGACCCAACGGCGCTATACAGCACCAAACGGTCAGATATGCAATCCGCGGTTACCCCCGGCAAGCAGTTCCGACAGCCAATTTCTGACATGCCATTTCTCATCGTTATGGACATCTGGGTCCCAAACCGATTACGGATTCTCAAGACGCTGAGACACAGGTGGCCCGGTGACGCGAGTCCTATGAATAGTCTCATTCCTGGATAGAGTTTCCTTCCGAAAGCCAGCCTGGAAATGCCAACGCTCTATCCTATCACCCTTCACCACTGCCGATTTCCCAAAACATTTCAGTCCCCCCTGCTCAAGCACAATGGGTTTGGCTCCAGGTGGTGGTTGAACCTGCCATTCCCTTCGTCTACGATTGACTACAGCATGGTTCCCTACAACCCTCTGTTCATAAGGTGGAGGGTCCCAACTTTGAGGCCCATTGCCCCTGGGTGTGAGGACGTTTCCTTCGTGTGATCGACGAGGTTCTTTTACTTTATCTCTCCTCAGGGGTCTCATCATGCTCAGGATTCTTTGTCACCATATCACCTGAGATGTTTACGAGCGATTCACTTCTGTCGGGTGGACCACGCTGTTCATAGCCGTAAGGCAGCGGTTCTGACGACGTGAATAGTTGCGCGATGTTTTGCCACTTTGTCAGACCGGTTTCCAGATCGATGACCCAGGTTGAAACTCCGGGTCCCTCTGCGACCGATGAGGTCTGGTTTGCCCGACCATCTTTTTGATATGAAATTCATCAGATTCCTGTTCGAAACGCGGAAGAGCAACTGTTCTATCCCGTTAGTCTCAGACTGCTTCTCAATATGCCGCCTTCTGGGAAACCCAAATCCTAGATCGGGAAGCGAACATGTGCTCAGAGGCTGCACGGTATTCCACCACCGGCGAGAGCTGGTTTATCCTTCTTACTGCCCTTGCGTGGGAGGGAGAAAAAGCACTAACCATCGTGATAGCCATCAATTCCCCGCGCAGTGCATCCTTCACGAATAGCCATGGGATGAACAGCACGCCAGAATGAACGCCATCGGTAAATACTGTGAGGCACTGCACAGAACCCTTCCTCGGACGATGGAAGTTTATTTGTTTTTGAAAAATCAGGACTTTAAACCTAGGGTTCCCGTGGTCGCGACGCGCACCATCGCTTCAGTCAACAATACATCCATACTTCTACCTTTGTACATTCGCGATCGCAACCGACAGGGCAAAGAGCCGTGGCTCAGTGGTTAGAGCGTTGGACAGGTCGCGGGATCGAGCCCCAGGTGTTTTACGCTTCGTGGTTGGGTATGACTGGCTGACGACGGCCAATAAGCCAGAAATGGCCATTCCAGCCTCTCTTGTCTTTGTCGGTTATAACATTCTGCATATATATGTATACACTTTAGAGCCGGCATTACCTTCACTTCAGAAGATGAAGATGCGATCACTGGGGCAAGAAGTTTATTTGCCTGACGTTTCGGATTCTCACTCGAATCCATCATCAGAGACCATTACCTTCACTTATCATTTTCTTTTATATATTCATCCCCTTCTTCGGGTCAGCATCCCAAATCGAAGGTACACCATGTCTGCAAGGTATCTTTCGGTTCTGCCACCGCCCCCCGCACCGCTGTGATTGAACTGGCCGGTTTCGAACCAGATGGAAATTTGGAAGGCATTAGGTCTGTCTTCTTCGTCAATCTTAAACCCACGGACATTGTGGGCGTGAAATCAGAGGTATATCTCGGTTTGTTCCTACCTTTCTTGTCAGGCTTTTCCGCCTAGTTGCAGCCTCATCCGTTTTCTCTCCTGTTTAGGTCAGGATAGTGTGCGTTCCTCGCTCTGCTGACCAGGGCCTGCAACCCTTAATGCCGACCTCCACAACACCTTCTGGCGATGGGGGTGAACGGCTCTACTTTCAGTCTACGCGCTCCAAGAAACATGCCCCGCCTACTGGGGATGTAATCATCGATCCTTCGGAACCAGCCTGGAAAGCCTTTTTTGAGAACCTGTACATATCGGAGACCAACCAGTTGGTCTGGATGGCCTGGACTCTGACACTTCCCTAGGGGGGTCCTTATGTCAGCTGTCCAACATCAGCGCCCAATTAAATGAGGTCTTTCTTCGTTTAGTCTTACTGGATTTGGGGGCGGGGGGCGGGGGGACAGTGTCTGTACGCCTGTCCCGTCGTCTGTTTGTTTGCATGTCTTACACCATGCTGTAGCGGGAAACCACCTTGATAGGGCTTGTTTTGTGTTTGTTCAAAATCGCACGAGCTGACTCCGTTTGGCATCTTGCGGATTTACGAACTGCAATTTACTGGATTGTGTTGCCTATGCGGGTCTGATTCGGAGACAGTAATGCACCCATGCTTCATTTCTCTGTACACTTGAAGGGGTGTAGTAGTTCTTAAAGTCCTCTTGCCTGCTGGTTGACGACAGCCATTCAACAAAACGTTGGCGAATTTCAGCAAACCAGTAGTTTCATGGAAACTCCCCGACTGGTGCTGACAAGGTTACTCATTCAGTGAATGAGTTCTTTGATTTAAAGCGCATTCCTACATGATAATGTCGGTCATGATCTCCGTGCGTTGTTCACGGCTGCAGCCTTAACTCACGCTCGTTCCAAAATTTTAACCGAAAGGCTTAGATGCGCAGACGGTTATTTTAAACTGCGCCGGCACGATGGCTTACCGAAACTGGCAATGTAGGCAAACGGAAGAGGTCCCTGTTCGACATGTTCCAAGTCATGTGATTGACAAACCTGTCCAAACGAACAAATACGAGGAAAAGGGCGGAGACCGAAGACGCGGCCGCACTCACTAGGTCCAAGCAAGTTGTTAATGCAAAACGGGAAGAGTGGTAAGTGGGGAATTTATGCGTGGGAGAAAAGTGATATTTAGTAAGAAAATCTAGAGGTTAAAATAATGAAGGTCATAAGCATGAAGAGGGTTGTTTGAATACACTGATAAGGTCCACAAACCAATTCGAAATTTGAGTCACAGTGTCGTAAAATGTCTGGCTGTAGGCGAAAACCACTGTCCTGCCGTTCTTGACGCAAATTTGCTTCAAGTGAACACCAACACGCCTACTGAAAACAATCTCAGTAGCAGTGACGGAAATAATTCACAAAGTTCGCGCTATCAGCCTCGCCTGGAGAAGATGAGAATTTACCGCGATTACTAGTGTATTGAAACCAAAAACCCCATGTCATTGACTCCGCGCATGAGGAAATCTTCATTAGGATCAAATAATATTTCTAACGGAGCATGTCTGCCGAGGTGATTTTTCTCGCGAATTTGTGTTCGGACACATTTCGGTGGCCATTACCGTTAATCACTCAGCCGTGTACCTAGCCGCCTATCACATTTCTGTATTTCGTTTGAGCACAACAATTCCTGGTCTGGGTTTCAAATTTGGCACAAATTATCGCCAAATGGTGTCCCTAATAAATCCTAAGCCTTTAATTCAACTCTGGCAAATTCCACTGTCAGCTGATGGCAACTGACATATCACTTCAGCTCGCCTACATCTACGAGAATCCAAGCCCGGGTGAACCACTCGACATTTCGATCGTCGATTTCGACGATCTCCATCGTGTACTCCGCAGCAAGGTGACAACATGCACGGTGAATTGGTTTAGGGTGATAGTAGACTTGCGCTGAATTCACCGCACTTCCTCCTCCACCCCCGGGTCCGCAGTTTAGAGGGTGCAGGTGGCTGGCTGGATCTAAATTGGCGATTTCAGTCTACAAGATGCATACAGTCTGCGTACGAAAAACCTATTACTCCTCTACTGCTTTAAGGAGACACTATATAGGGTTCACAAAATTTTGCAATGGATGCAGACTATGTTGTTTGCTTTAAGGGAAGCATTAATAAACGTACGGGTCCGATATTTTTTATAAATAAGCACTGTACGCTCTTTAATATCACGTAACTCAAAAGGTGTTATTTATTTTGCTATAAAATGTTTAGACGACGTGATTTCTTACCAAATAAGCAAAAGAAAGTATATTTTGGTGCACGTTTTGCATTAAACATAGCTGAACTCGTTTGGTCCTCAAAAATCACTGGGAAAAGTGCATACTAATTCAACTGCCATTTTGCCCAGTGAAGTTTTACAGGAGCTCGCAAAGAAGTGAATTCAAAAGCCAGTATTCTATCGAGTTCGAATGCTATGGAATTATGCGGCGTGCCAATTAGTGCTGTAACCCCACCTAATTAACCCTTTTTGATCAAAAACGCATTTCAGAGTCTCGGCTTACACTTCATGAGATAGGCCACCCACTGAAATTATGGAAGAATGTTGACGTTAGCTTTCAAAACTTAGGCTTATATGTGTAAAAGTATATGGGTTACAGTCCCATAAAGCTAAAGCGAGTTACGTTTCAACATTGTCATCAATAGGTTCCCGATGCCTATCGCAGGTTTCGCCATTAACCAAGCGGTATGTTCTGCCGTTCAATTTAGCGCTTGAAGTCCGCACCTCTCCGTACTTATGATTAACAGCTTACAAGCGTTTAGAGTTCAAGGCGACGTTAGTGGAGCATTCTCCCTGATTTTCGTCAAACATGCGCACAAAGATGAGACCTAGAATTGTGGCCTGGCCGGTGAACTTACGACAGCCAAGCGTTGCGTGCTCCTTACTCAGACTGTCGTTCCAACTTTTCTTAGAATTTACACCTCTCATTATTCGTATTATCTACCCACTGATTAAGACACGACACTTAGCTAACGCCTATAAGCTATCCTGTTGCAGTGACTGCTAGCGCGAACTCAGCAAAAACATGAAAATGAAGTCTCGGAATATATATCTCGATCAAATTTCGCAACGTGTATGTTTCCAACTTGCTTTGAAAAGTTTTCGTTGACGGGGGAAGAAACCCCATCTCCTCCTTATGCTGTTTGAGATAGATGACCTTCATAGATTGATCCTCTGCCAAGGAAAGTTCGTTTTTTCTGGTCGATCTCAGGTAGTTTGTGATGGCAGATGCGACGAATTTACGAAATGGCATTGTAAAGCCTGTGCCAATTTGACCGTCGTCACCGACTACGTCTGCTCTGCGCCTCACAGCAAGAACGGTGACTTGCGATGCATCAACCGCACTTCCCCCTCTCTAACCAAGCTGCCTTGCAGCTTGTTTGCAGCACTGAAGAAGGGAAAATATTTCAGATTCAGAACGAAACGAATAACGGGTTCCCGGATAATACTTCAGAAGTCTTTTTGTAATGGCACGTAGGCAAATGAATTTGTTCAGAGGCTCTTGAGAATGTTTGTGGCCTGTCTTTGAACGCCAATGCTACACCTTACTGTTGAGCGTCCCTTCTCATTGGTGTGTTTTCTGCAGTCTGAAACCTGTGACTTTTTGGAAAGGTTTTTAATATATTGCTTGTATGGGTTGCAGCGGCTAATAGCAGACGATGTGCATTTACTACACTCAACAGAAACAGCGGGGGCCTGTGACATTTCTTTTCGGTCATAAGTTTGACAAGTAGTCCTGTATGGAGATGATAGGTGCTTATTCTTTCACATTGAGGACTTGCCGAAATGTGTGTTGCCATAGATGCATAATGACTTCCAGCCGCGTAGTATTTACCCTTCAGAAGCACACATACGAAGTTGCAAGTCGCTTATTTACCGAAAGCAGGCGCTGCGTCACGCGGGCCATATCACCCTCATAACATAAATAAATAGCCTCAAGGTCATCAGAACAAATGAACGTTTCAGAATTCTTAATTTCCGTCGGAATATCGTTGATGCACAGAAGGCAGTGTAGCGGACCCAGAGCCATACTTTGAAGTATTTCACTCGTGATCGAGTGAGGCGTCGAGTAAAAATTACCAACTATGACATCCCTCTGGCGGGCAGATGTAAACGACGCACGGAAATCGAGTTGAGGATAACTAATGTCAAGTTCTTTGAGTTTAGCTAAAAGACGGCTGCGCGCACCTTATCGAAAGCTTTATTAAACTCAAAGTAGATAATTGCCGCTAACTTCACTTCATTGCATAGTGAAGTAATAAAATTAAGAAAGTCTAAGTGGCAAGTTTTGCTAGGTCTTTCGGGTAAAAGTCAATATTGACAAATGTCAAGAATTTCAGTGAATATTATCTTTTCAAGGGGTTTTATTAGGAATAAAGTTTTATGCACTCCGATGTTACTAACGTCGGGTTGATATCCGGATTTAAAGTCGGGAAGAACAATTCAGGTGTTCCTTACTTCTAGGTAGGGGGAAGCTACGATGATTTAGGTTGAGTTATAGACCCGTATAGGCTGCGCTTCACAGCACACCTACAGTAACAACTGCACGTCCAACGCCACTCCATCATTATGGTTCGTGTGCTAAATATATACCCTGTGAAATCGCAAAATGCCCACACGAAGCCGTATCGAAACGCACGCAAGACTCCAGGCAATCCATCTCTGATTGGCAGTAACTTGTGGAGTAGTCTTTCTTTCCAAAGCCTGTACTTTAGAAAACAAATTTATTTCTTCCTTCAGAAAATCAACTTTTCCTTATTATGCAAAAGCTAGCTCTAGAAGTCCACTGGCTGATGGGACAAGATGTACATTCAGTTGATCATTTCCACTGTAAAATAAGGACTCGCAACGACTTATTACGTCAAATTCAGTCAGCAACCGAACACTTCCAACACGTGATTATGTTCCAAAAGTAAAATTTCCTTATGATAGGTGTGTCTGTCACCCACCTTCACTTTTCCGGTCATTGTAATGTGACGCTCATGAATAATAATTTCTCTCTTTGATATGTTTGCATCTCCTATGGGTAATTAACCCCGTTTTGGAAGATGAAACTGACAACGGACGGATTGACTCCCCTTCTTTGACACCAGTAAGCCCATAAACCAATTTTAAACTAATGATTTTCGGCAATACCAACAACTAAGCAGGTTTACTAAGAGACAGGTGCCGTTTATATATATCGAAATTTCTACCCTTAATACCTGCCATAACCGCTCTCTTCGTCAGCTCTGCAGGTTTACTCGGCGAGGCTAACGCTTTTCGCATCCATTTGTTTTTCACTTTTTAGCTGTTGTTCATTCGA